GGCTGAAGAAGCAGTTAGGTGAGGGATCAGAAGCAGAAGAGGGAGAGACAGGGCCAAACCCCCAGGAGGAGGATTTTCAGGAAGGCAACTGGTGAGGGATGCATCCTGGCTGCCTGCAGAAGATAACCCATGTAAATACCACAACGTGCGCAAGTCAGTGCCATTGCAGACAATTCCATCGAGTTATTGCAAAGAAAAGGAGGAAAAGCACATCCTATGCCCACAGAAGTGAAAGAGGCCCAGAGTTGACACCCGAAGTAGCAGTGTCCCCACCTGCCATCTACATCCTCTCCAAAGAGTCCCCCAGATCACTCAACCTCATGGTGATGCTAGCCACCCTGACCTCCCTCGCCCCCGTATCAGTGTCAGCCCTCCTGGACTCAGGGGTCACCAGGAACTTTGTGAGCCCCAAGTTCATCCGGAAGCACAGACTTGAGACCACCCCGCTCCCACAGCCCATACCGCCATAACAGAGGAACTGGAAGCCCTCCTGACGTTTGGATGACATACAGAATGGGCCCATTTTGCAGTTGCAAACCTGGGATGCCAATCCCTCATCATAGGGCATTCATGGTTGTTGCATCACAACCTGGAGGTGGACTGGGCACAACAGAAGGTTGTCATGTCCTGCTGCCCATCCTCCTGCAGGGGGCCACAAGTGGGAGACGACTGAGACCTCACAGTAGAGCCTGGGGACAGGATCTATGCTGCGATCATTCCCCCAGGGTGGGGGCACGACCTGAGAGTGACCACAACACCCTCTCAGCGGATGGCCCAGGAGGCCCATGACCTGGGTGTTATAGATATAGGCTAGAATCTGATGGTCCGTGGTTGCAAGCAGATGGACCCAGGACCTTCCCCATTTTACTTCTCCATCAAACCCCATGCCAAGCTTTCCCACCGGGTTTTGGTGCTGGCTGGGGGATTTGTTGAGTTTCAAGGGACTTCCCTTGACCATTATGACTTTTATATTAGATAGTTAGAAGTCATATGATGTGTAAGGCAGATGCCGAAAAATGTCTTTTCCTTATCTAATACATAACCCACAAAACCTTGTACCGCGATTGTAACTGCCACACCATTGTGCCACCACTGTAAGCCTTCTCTGTAACATCTGACTTGGTCCATATCGATGTCTACATCGATATTCTTACAATCTGTGAGAAAACCTCAACGGCCCGGTGAGTGCTCAGACACCGGACCTCACTCTTCCTGCTCCCACCCCCCCACTGGGTGGTTGAGCTCCCATTCCTATCCTTCCTGTAGTACCCTACTGGGTCCTACAACCCTTCCTCCCTTCTTGGGAGGGAGAAGTGACCCAGGCAGCCCCAGGATGCCTGGCCACGTACCTGCAGGCCCAAATTCCCACGGTCACTCACTACCGTGCACTGGTCAACCAACCTGCCTGTCCCAACAAGTCCCACTACCGGTACGCTCCCTTGAGTGCCAAGTAACCGATAGACAACCACTGGGCTACTCCCTCAAGGAGTGCCAACTACCCACGCTACCAGTACACTCACATGAGCGCCAAGTCACCGCTAGCCAACTGTTAGATGGCTCCCTCAAGGAGCCCCCATTATACCCACTGCCAGTATGCTCCTTGGAGCGCCAAGTTGCCGCTAGCCGACTGTTAGGTGGCTCCCTCAAGGAGTCCCCATTATACCTGCTGCTGGTACACTCCTCAGAGTGCCAAGTTACCGTTAGCGTGACACCACACCCACTGCCAGTATGCTCCCCGGAGCACCAAGTTACCGTTAGTACACCCGGTCTCAGACCTTCTCCTGCTCTCCCCTCAATGGCTATGCAGCCACCTCTGTCTGTGAGCAGAACGGCTCAGGTTGGGTTCCCCGGAACCCATTCCTGTAACACCAGGGGCAGAGCCCATGCCATTTGAGACATTGGTACCAGAGCACTACCAGGACTTCCGGGACATGTTCTCTAAGGAAGCCTTTGATCAACTACCCCCCCAAAAGCCCTGGGACCATGCCATAGACCTAGTGCCAGACACAAAGCTACCCAGGGGGAAGACCTTCCCTCTCTCACGACCCAAGCAGAAAGAACTGGACAAGTTCTTATGGGAGAACCTGCAGAACGGGCATATATGCCTGTCCAAATCACCAATGGGGGCGCCAGTCTTCTTTGTCAAGAAGAAGGATGGGTCATTACATCTAGTCCAAGACTATCAGAAACTGAACAAGATCATGGTCAAGAACTCATATCTGCTCCCCCTCATCTCGGGAAATTAGATGAAGGCTCCCATTTTATCTCGGTGCCAAATGGGTCAGGGAATGGTGGGTTGGGCCAGGATGAGCCACCCTTGCCACCATCCTCATCATTACCATCCCCATTCGGACGGTGGGGCCTTCTTCCTGAATTAGACCTAACTTGGTCTACACACCTCTTGCTCCCTTCTGGAGCCGCAGGTGGTTGTGAGAATTGGTGGTAGTTGTCCAGCACCCATCTGAGTGCTGTGCCATAGGACAGTCTTTTGGAGTTTCCACTGTTTGCCGCATGACCCATGTTGTATACAAATGCCGCATCTGCATCCAGATGGGCGTTAAAATCGAAAGTGGATTCGCTGAGACTATGCTCAGCAAAGATTGGTCTGACCTTGGTGGGCTGTCCACCAAGGTCATCTACACGATCCTGGATGTAGATCGGGTGCTTTTTCTGTGTGTGATAATCATACAGAACATTGACAACTTCCGTGTCATTGTCCTCCTCCTGTATTGTCTCCACAGTGGCCTTCATTGGCACTGTTTTCATTCTCCCATAGTTGGGAGGGAGATTACGTGTTTGAGTAATGTCAACGCATGGTATTTTCACCCCACTGTTCATGGGTTGCGATGACAGAATGAACGGCACAGGTACAAAACCTGGCCTGAAATGGAGTGGAAAAATTCCACTCTCCCCTGCAGTTGACAATCCAGCCATTTGTCCTGGGTCAATCTCCCTACCTTTCCCCTTGGTGTCAGTGGTTACTGGTGCTGTCAATGGGGTAGGTGGCTTAGTTCCACTAAAGATGGGAACAAATCATCCATCGGGTTCTTGTACCTCGACAGATGGGTGTGAATTTGCCACCTCTGTGACGATGGCAGTGGCAGTGGGGATCCCTTCAGGTACTGGGACCCCAATGATTGGTTGACCTAGGACCTCTTGGGGCACTTGCACCTCAACAGTGGGTTCTTTTGTCTGCTCAGAGACGATGATGGGATCCCCATCAGTTGATGGGTTCAGAGGTGGGTTTTCCACCATTACTGCAGGTGGCTTGGGCTCATCGCATTGAGAGAGTGTGAGGAGAATTTTGTTTAGTTTCTTGTTTAGTCTTTCTTCCACCTTAATGATGTTGTGATCTAAACAAGCAATGTTATCGCTATTCCCAGAGATCTGGGTATTCATGTTATGGACATCGCCCCTCAAGTCAGCGATGTCTTTGTTGACTTGGTTGACGTGATTTCTCAATACTCATGCCGTTTCAGGTGCAAGGGAGTGGGTTGGGGATGGAGGACACAACGCATGCCTTGGGACATATGCTGCAAGAGTCTCAGCTATGAGGGCTTCAGACATTGTAACTTGGTCAACATCTCTCAGTGTCACAGCTGTGCATTCTGGCCCATTCCCCCCCATCCCGATGCCACCAGAACCCATTCCCACTGTGCGAGTGTGAACGCGAGCCCCATCCCTCATCCCTATTCTCCTTGAGGACTCCCCACTCACTCCCCACTTGCCCATGGTTCCCCAATGCTAGACTGACTCCCCCACTGCCACACCAACCTCCCCACCATGAGTCTGCCTCCAGCACCACGCCAAGCATGACTCCTCTGCTCCGCCCACTGGGCCCTCACCAGGCCACTACCATTCCCATGCCCAACTCTGGCCCAACTCTGAGTCCGGTGCTGCTACCATTGCCATCGCCGCTATCATGGCCCTACGCTCCTTCCTTTATTTATCTGTTATTGTTTGTTTTGACCCTTGGTCATTGCTGGCCGCTATGCAGCCAACCCCACTCCTTATTCATGTTTGCTTCCGGACCCTTCGGCCTTTGGCCCGGGTCCGCTTCCGTTCATTCTTTCCTCCTATATATATATATCCTGTATACTACATTATAGTACTTTAGCTCTAATATCAATTTGACCACAACCTCCTAAGTCCTTACCCCAGCAAGGCAACCCCAGTAAGTCTGAAATGAGGGCCAAGAGACAGCTAGGGGGCACAGCGCTCCTTTAGAGTCGCTGAGGCCAAATGCTCTACCCTTGGGCCTTGTTTGTGGCATCATGGCCATCACAGCTTATAGTGGCCTGCAACAGCGACCCTGAGTGCCAACCCCGGACCAGTGTCTAACACTCAGATAGATTCAACTCATCTGAGATGCATCGCTGGAGATCACCACTATCACTTGAGGTGGTGTCATCTTCCACCCTACGGCCAGTGGAGGGGCTGGCCGTGTTGGCAGGAGCATTAGACATGCTCCTGGTGTTGTATCTTGACGACATCAAGAGGATGTGTCGAGTCATTCAACAAATTTGCATGAGAACTTGATTGAAGTCACACATTGTCAGGGGCCGACAACGTGCATGTTGCCAAATGGAGTTTCAGTGCTGGTGACGCGGTGCTGAGAATGGAAAGGAAAAAATAGCATAAAAAAGTGAAAGGTTTCTTACTTGTTTTGGGGATGGTATGTTCTGTTCCCCTGTTCACCTCAGGCCTCAGTTAGTCTGTCTAGCTGTCATATCCGTACATACCCGATCCTGATCCAACTCTGTCAGGGCACAAGCCCTGGGCCCCCATTACATGTAGTCCCGTTGTAGATTAGTGTCACGTGACAGGCGATGGGTTGAAACCTATCGCTTATCACCCCGTAATACCCACACCTTTGTGACACTTACAGCCTGGTGACCTGAGCGAGCCCCACAGACCTCACACTTTTTTAAGTGCATGAGGTGTGATTAAAACTAATCTACACATCTATTTTTACATCTGTTCCGGGGATGGCACCTGACATGGCACCGTCATACCCCCAAACAGGGAAGCTTGCATCTGCAGCGAGAACAAAGGGTGGCTTTGTTAAAAAGCCGCGATCTCCCAATTTGGGAGATAACCTAAACACTGCGTCATCGGATGATGACAAAGACCTGCCACATATTGGTAGGACCTCAGGGACAAACCCTGAGGATCCCAAAAACTTACATGGGGTAAATGCAGGGAACAATACCCTTAGAACCCCATGTGCCAACATGATCTCTCCTAGAAAGAGAGAGTTCTCACCACTGGGTGAGGAGGCAAACATGTGCACATGTAAGCGCACGGCTGCCACACTAACAGCCTTAAGGGCTGGGTCAGACACGCCAAAAGAAGTCCCTGAGCCCCACTATCCTCAGGGAACCTCTCACTTGGTGCAAGACACTGACAAAAACAGCAGTAACTCCTGCTGGCACAGGGGGCCGTCTGTGGCCCCAAGCAATGTGGAAAAATTGTCCACATCGTCTCGTGTCACCCGCATGACATCCAGCTTGCAACATTGCAGCAAGCCGGTCCACTCCCAAGTCTATTTGACTGGGAGTTACACAAAACCATCAAACGATCACTCCCACTGGCACAGGGAGCCGTTTCTGATCGCAAAAAATGTGGAAAAATCTTTCACATGTCCAGCATCGTCTCGCATTAAACGCGAGACGTCCAGATTGCAATATAGCAGCAATCTGGTTCACTCCCCAGTCGATGCGACTGGAAGTTGTCATAAACAACCAAATGACCACTCCTGCTGGCACAGGGAGCCGTTTGGAGTTCCAAAAAATGTGGAAAAACCGTCCACATCTACGGAATCGTCTCGCGTCAGCCACGAGACGTCCAGCTTGCGATATAGCAGCAAGCCGGTTCACTCCCCAGTCTATGCGATGGGTAGTTGTGCAAATCGATCAAACGACAACTCCTGCCAGCACAGGGAGCCATTTGTGATCGCAAAAAATGTGAAAAAAACTTCCACATTGTCTACATCATCTCACATTAACTGTGAGACGTCCAGCCCGCAAAATCGCAGCATGCTGGTTCACTCCCCAGTCTATGTGACTGGGAATCGTGCAAAACAATCGAACAACAACTCCTGCTTGCACAGGGAGCCATCTTTGATTGCAAAAAATGTGGAAAAAACCTCCACATCGTCGTTACCGTCTTGCAACTATAGTGAGACATCCAGCTCGCCGCCTAGGCGTGAGCCGGATCAAACCCCAGTCTATAAGACTGGGAATCATCAAAAACCCTCATGGGACGACCCCCACTTGTGCAGGGAGCCAGTCCTGAGTGGAGGAAATGTGGAAAAAACTTCCACACCACCGACACCATCTCACAACCACTGTGAGACACTCAGCGCTCTGTCTGAGAACGAGTGCACACACTCCAACATGGATATAAAGGCCATGTCATCCAGATCGACACAGACTCACAGGTTGAGCTCACTTCCAGACTGTCCTCAGATGGCCTCGGACCCAGCGTGGACACAGCAAAGGGACCAGGTGCAGGAGGATGGGGAAGCTCCCCGAAGTCAATTGTCCAAGAAACTTCTGGACTTTTTCCAGGTCCCATCCGAATGGAGGACAGGAAGTGATGAAGAACTCCTTCTCAGGCTAAAGGCCCGAGAAATAATAGGAGAAAAGGTCAAGGGCAGATGCTCAGAGAGCACAGAGGCTCAGGGGAAGCCACTGCTGCCAAGGCCGAACCCGAAACTTTTGCCAAAAAAAGCGAAGTCACCAACTTCGGATGAGGTCACTGAAGTCTGTAGGAGTGCAATGTGGCAGAAGAAGGAGCCTAGTAAGGAGAACCCACAAATGAGCAGGCAACCATCAACACCAGGCCCCATCTTAGGTGATAAATGGCCCTCCTCGGTCACTTCACCCAGGCAAAGGATAAGTGGAAGTAACCTTCCGAAAAACCCCTCCAGTAATGCTGGAGAGAACCAAACAAACCCTCGTGAAAACTTCACAAGGAAAACTTCTAGCAAAACATTGCTGGAGGATAATGGGCACCTTGAAAGATGGTACCACAAGGCCACACGGATGGCTGAACTTCTAACTTTCACCCCACACATAGACAGGGTGAAGTGGGACTGGTCAAATAACGGTCCTACTCAACTCCCTGACATGAAGTGGTCAGGCGAAAACGATACAGAAACTTTCTGGCAGTGGTACACCACACTGCTAGGATTCCTCACATCACGAGGATATAGAGGCGCACACTACGATGAAATCCATCTGGATTGTCTCATTGGTGGATTGGCAGAGCCTGCACTCTCACACGGACTAAAATTCCGTGAAGAAGCCCTCCTTAGAGATAAAGGGGGGAAATTTCTTGAAGTCCTCGATACGCTAATGAGGACATATATCAAGGAGCCTGCCACATTGAAGGTGACGGAAAAATACTGCAATGTAAAGTACAATGCAGGAAAAGGACCCAGACAGTCCTACCCAGAACCATCACTTAATGCTTGGTTTCTGGAAAACATCCTCCCTGAATGCAAGGAGGAAATAATCAGAATGGGATTCTCCTCTTTCGAGGAGATGTTCAGAACAACATCTCGCATGGACGAGATGAAAAACAGGCTGAGGATAGCTCCAGCCTACAGGCCAGAATGCTATGCCAGACCTGAAACCACCGTGACCACAAATCGCAAAAAGCCCAACCAGGTGGGAAAGGAGAAACATGCAGAGGCAAGAGCCAATGTGCAAGACCCTAAACCCAAATGGAAAGGTGAATCCTCCCTGAAGCAGTTAGGGAACACCAACCAAAGGCCAGTACAAGTACGCAATAATCGTGGAATACCAGAGTGGGCAAAGAGCCACCCTGAGCACCAGTTAGTAGGAGACAGAAACCCAAGGCACAGGATCGCCAGGGAAGTTGACTACAAAACAGAAGGTGAAGTTGGAGACGACTCCGATGAAGAAGAACCGGAGAATATCTCTGGTGATTTCGAAGTGGAGGACACCTCCAATGACTTTGAACCAGAGGACCCAAACAAGGGACCTCACTACTTGCCCAGAAGAAAGGGCGAGGACATCAGTGTTGGGACTGTCAGAGACCAGACTCGAGACGAAGGGATGTCTCCGTAACGGAGGGCTTTGGCCTCAGCGACTTCTGCCAAGAGCGCTGTGCCTAGTGACACGTCCGTGCCCTAACTTACTGACTGGCAATTAGAACCTAGGGGGTAACTCTAGTTGATTTTACTACTGGGGCGTAACCTATGTACAAGTGGAATATATATATGGTTACAGTGGGGACGGTTCCGCAATTGGCGGAGCTGACAGAGTGGAGCTAACGGGGTTTAACCATTAGCCGACTGAATATTACCGACGAGTCGGTTCACGGGGTTAGCGGAAAGGCAGGCGATAACCCAGAAACGGAAAGGAGGGATAGGCCCGAAGGTGGGCTCTGCAGGGCAGGCGAGTGTATTGCCCAGCAGAGGCGGGGGTGCGCTAGCGGACGTCGGAGCTGTCCGGAAGTCTTTGGGGCTCCGTACTTAGGGAGGCGTAGGTAATAAATTGAAATGAGGGGGTGGTGACCATCGAGGGGTACCGAGAGGTTTGTGGAATACAGGGGCTCCGAGGTTGGTGAGGGAGGAGCGGAGTTGGAACGGAGGGGTCGGAGGGACTGGAAGTCGATGGCCAGGGATGGATATGACAGGGACCACAATAATGGCCCCAAGATCTGACATCATTGAAAACAATGACGAAAAAAATACACTAAAACTGGCGATAAGCCAGACCAAAAAAAGAACTACCAACTCTTTGGTGACGACACTAAAGAGGGATTCCCCTGAGGAAAGTCACTCAGAAGACAACACCCCCGAGGAAAAAACCTCGGAGGGAGACCCACTGAAGGAGGACCCTTTGGAAGAAACCACCCCGGAGTCTCCAGAAGAAGACGAGCTCTGGGTGGAGTTTATACTTGGCTGGCTAGTGGCCACAATCCACCCTCTCCCCAGTAGAAATACTGGGCTGCATCACGCACGATTGGCCGACAAGGCCAATCAGCCCTCCTCGTACTTGAAGGAGGACCAAGAATTGGCAGATAAGATCAAGTAGAGATCCTAACTCCCACTTGTGCAGACAACCCAGTCCACGCAATCTTGCCACCAACTATTGGCAGCCTTCCTCTCATACCGAGAGGTTTTCGAAGGTCTACCCGACCATCGACCTATAGTAATATGCTATAGTTTTAACTCCTCAGACTGAGGAGACTCCACGTGTCTGGAAGCGCTCCAGGCCCTCATTTTTTTTCCTTTCTTCTCTGGCTCTTTTGTTGGGAAGGCCATAAACATGGTGAATGAGAAAGTCACCAATGCTTTGGTAGAAACACCAAAGAAAGAAACAAGCCAGTCCTAGCTCAGAAGAACTGGAACTCCCAGATAAATACCATCTGGAAGGCAATTGCTTGAGGAACCAAACTCCTTGAACTCGCAAACAGGGATAAAGCCGAATAACTCGGCCCAACCTATGCGATACTCATTTTAAATCCATTTTAATTGTAAATTTGCTCTGTTTCGAGCAATACAACCTTTGTACTAATTCCCAAAGTCCTAATGCCCCTACAGCATTGGTTTCTCTGACTTTGGTCCTCTATTCCATCTCCTTCATGTCACAAGTGTGTGACATTGAATTGCGTCGCAGAGCGTGACATTTAGATGCGTCACAGTGCATGACAGAAATTCCTGTCATGCCTTGTTACATGCTACTGACCGAGTAACTTCAGGTAAAGCCGAGCAACTCAGCTTAAGTCACCTGACATTCAACATGGTGTTGAATCGAAAGGGCAACTGCGTGGTCTCAGGTTTAACCCCACTTATTAATGGCAGGAAAAAACTCGGATAAACATCTGAGGGATAACAATAGGGGAGAAAACATCCCCAATACGGTTCCTTGGTAGGGGAATTCAGTTTGCTTCCGGTGCCAGCCTGAGACCTCCAGCTGACCACAAATGCAAACAGATCAAACTGGCATTAGAAGACCAGTTGTAAGGAGTCATCATAGGCATGATGCCTATGAACTCGAGATACTCTTGAGACCAAATAACCTAGAGGAAGCTCTAGGGGGGAGCGACAACCTAGAGGAAACTCTAGGGGGAGTACCCAAACCCGTGAAGTAAACACATCCCAACAGACTTGGGATATGATTCCATCAAAGGAATTGTCCACAGGCAGACACAACAACGTCCACCTGATCCCACTCAACCATGAATGCATTAGAACTAGCATTCATGTTTCTTTGCAAAGTTGTATGACTTCACAGATTACCACACTCGATCGCATCAGATCGAGATTCAAAATTCACCACAGAAAGTAGTACAGATACTACATGCGATGGTCAGACCAGATCAACATGACAGGGCAGCAAAGCTGTCAATGGCAGAATTCACAATCAATGCGAGCTCGAACACATCAACAGGATTTGCCCTGTTCGAATTAATCTATGGCCATATGCCAAAGATGTGCCTAACAGCACCACTCTTGGACTACCCAGGAGTAAATGACTTCGCCCAAAAAGTGAAGGAAATCCTCATGGCAGCACACAACGCGATAATACACAATTGCGCTGCCCAAACAATCCAGGTGAATAAGAAAGACACCCGGACCTGCCTTTGAGAAAAGGCGAGCTTGCATACTTATCCACGGATCAGTTGAACCTACCCAAAGGAAGGGCAGGCAAACTAAAGCCCTTATACATAGGGCCTTACAAAATTCTGGAAACATTTCCAGAGATGTCAAACTATGTCCTCAAGTTTCCACCACAACTTGAACAATGCGGAATCCACCCAAGATTCCACATATCCCGGCTCGTACCTCATGAGCCGAATGACCAAGAAATCTTCCCAAATAGGGAAGTAAACATATTCTATGATTTGGGGAAGACCCTGATCGTGAAGCAGTAGTTCACGAAATCTTAAACCATGCGTGGATTCACAACGAACTCTGGTTTAAGGCCAAATGGGAGCTAGGGGACACCACATGGGAACCTCTAGTAAATCGTGATGACCTTGCCCACCTGGACGAGTACCTCACATTACAAAATGTGAGGGAACCGGAAAATCTCCCGATCTAAGAAGATACGGAACTTTCGGCATAATTATGCCCCCAAAAAACAGAGGCGGAAAAAGTGAAGCTGAAGAGCGATCACCCACAGCCAAGAGCACAGGAAGATTCTGGGCAAGCAACTCGCCCGGACAGCCACACCATGGGCTAGGCGAGTAACTCGCCTAGACCATGTGATCCCCAGGCTCACATGTGTACCCATATGCAGTACAAACTGCACTGATGGCACAACAAGTGCCACTCCAGGGGCAGCAATTGCCGCTGCAGCCCCAGGTATACTCCCCAGGGAACTTCCCTGGCCAAATCACTCCCTGGATCGGCCAACTTGGCCCAGATCCGACAACCCAGCCAAACATAGGCTGGGAATCAGCTATTGCATCAGCGGTAGCTGCCCAGACAGGTCAACTTCATCAGGAGTTGAAAGAGATAAAGTCCTTCGTAGGAGGGAGATGAGGGAGCGACAGCGGCTCCTTGCCCAGGCCATCCAAATGGGCACGGTCTGACAACTCAAGGGTGTCAGATGATGCCTGCGATAATTGCGCCCATTGGAGGCATGAATACAATAGGGCATGCAGAGACGCTTCGGCATCTTTGCCTCTCTGAAAGACACAGAGAGAAGTCGACCTCCAGAAGAGGGAGATCAAGTTGTTAAAACGTGAGCTTGAAGAGGCACATGCACTGGCAGACCTCACTGCCAAACCCATTATGATGGGGGCCTCCCAGGTCAGGGGGAGGGGATACGGTTCCGGGCCTCATGAGGCACAACCCCATATGGGGACTAGCACACCAAGGGGCAGGGCACCGACTATCCCGCCACCCCATTGTCAGGGACTCGTCCGGGGTCGAGGGGGTCCGGGTATAGCGTCCGGGACCGAGAGCCTGGCAGGGGGCGGATCGGGCATGCATACTGACAGCCCCGATGTGGGACAGTGGTCCCTGGCCACTTAGACTGAAGTGGAAAGTTGTTATTATCATTAAAGGAGAGATATTGTACTACTTACCTGAAGTGGAAAGTTGAAAAGAAGGCTACTTCTTCGGTTCCCACTTCAGGTTCGTTTATATACATGCGGCTTGGATCACATGACGGGTGCCACGTCACCCTCGCACACAGCCGTAACCACCCGGGTGTCTCCGTGGGAGATCCCGAGGGTATCCGGTGCAGGCGCACATGCTGGGCACAGCAGGAAGTTGCCCAAGGTGCCCGGGCCGGGTACATGGTGGGCGCGCTGCAGATGGGTCAGTTGTACATTGATACAGAGAAAGTCATCCATGTAGAATAAAGGGAGAATAAAGGAGAAGTGAGATAAGGAGAAACTGAGGAGGGGAGGATGAGGGGGGAAGAAGGGTAAGGGGGAGGAGGTAAGGAAGGGTGGACCGGCGGGGTACTGGGTCAGGTTGGGCCGGGTGGAGCCGGGTCAGGCGGGTGTGCCCTGACACCCATGGGCAGGCGACCCTGTCTGGGTTGCCTAAGGGCCCACCCTCAGGAGGGCAAACCCATGTCGAGGGGAGATGGGAAGACGGTAGGCAGCCGATGACAGACCCCCAAAAGGGGACCACTACCAGAGGCAGCAGGCCGCCAAGTACTGTGACACCCTATGGGCAAGCCACCCTACAGGGAAGTGTCCACATGCTTTTCGAGATGGCCAAAGCCAACAAATTCTCGGCCCAACCCAAGCTGAGAGCAAGCTATCACCCCCAGTGATAGTGGACAACACAAGCCAACTCCGAAAGGAGTTGGATGAGACAGAATCCCTCATGAAAGGGAAACAAGAGAGCGAGACAAGCTCCTCACTCAGGCCATCCAAATAGAGACGACCTGGTTACTCAGAGGTGCCAAGAAATGCCTATGAGAACTGTGCCACCCAGAGGCAGGAGTACAAGATTCGCATAGAAGTGCGAAAGATTACCTCTCTCCAAAAATGAAGAGAAACCGATTTCCAGAAATCGAGGAACTTGAATGTGAGCCTGAGCTCACTTGTGCATGGGCAGAATCCCACTGCCAAGTCCAACATGATGGGGCCTCCCAGGTTAAGGGGAGGAGATGTGATATTGGGTCTCAGAAAGTGTAACCCAGACAGGGACTAACCCGACTGGGATGGGATACCACAATTCTCACTACCCTGTGGGTAGGTGACCCTGTCCGGACTGCAGAGTGGTGCTCCAACAAGAGCACAGACCCAGGTTGAGGGGAGGAAGGAAGGCAGTAGGCAGCCAATAGCAAACCCCAGGCTGGGACCACTGTTAGAGGCAGCGGGCTGTCAAGTACTTCGACACCCTATGGGCAAGTAACCTTGGTGGGAGGCATCCAATGCAACAGGGAACCGTTCAACCAAGATAAGATAAATCTCGGTCCAAAAATCCTCACAAACACTGGGGAACACAGCATGGGAGCTGTGGCAAGAGGCAACAGCCTCCAAACAGCACCGGAACAAAGTTCTGGGGACTCATGCTGGCCATGAAGTCGAACAATCATTTGCTCCCAAACCAGGAGCAACTAGTACTCTGTCAAGCTCCACACTTGGCAAGGTGGCTCTAACCACAGAAAACCGTCCAGCTAAACAGCCAGATGAACAAACGAAAATCCAGAGCACAAATTTCTCTGGTAAAGTGGAAACCACTCCACTCTTGCGAAAATGCAAGAATTCGCACACAAAACAGTATGCGAAGCACTGTAAACAATATTTTACAGACCTAAATTATCAATTTGGGGAGGAAACACAGGCCGAAGATGCAAAACATCTTTGGAGAATTTCCCATTGGGAAACCCGATATTTTAAGGACTTCATATATACTTATCCCTATGTATAAAGACGTTCACTCCTTTTCCTTTTCTTTTTTTTATAACTTGATGTACAATGTTGCCCACTTTAAAGTGGCAAACACATTCCTTATTCATTATTCCTTTTAAGCTTAAACTTTCCTTTTCTTTTTATCTTGTATGCATTGCAACTGCAACGCAAGGGGGGAGAGTGTCAGGGCACAAGCCCTGGGCCCCCATTACATGTAGTCCCGTTGTAGATTAGTGTCACGTGACAGGCGACGGGTTGAAACCTATCGCTTATCACCCCGTAATACCCACACCTTTGTGACACTTACGGCCTGGTGACCTGAGCGAGCCCCACAGACCTCACAGACTCCCAGACCCCCATCTTCACCACCTCCGGAGTCCTACACCACCGCCATCTGTTCCGATATTCACCTTCGGACCAGACACCACTCCTCCTCTTACCCCTCACATCACCTCCACCCTTCCATCACTCTCCTACCCTTCTCCCATCCACTCCAATACTCACCTTCAGACCTGACACCTTTCCTCTCCTCCACTTCTCACCCTGCTCCTCTCTTCTCTCTCCTCCCTCTGACCCTCTTCTGCCAAACCTCCACCAAGTTACAACCTTCCACTGCTGTCCCTTACCCTGTACTTGGACACCGCTCGTACCTTTGCTCCAAGATTCTGTCATAGTTCCGACCTCGGACTTTGACTCCACCTCAGCTTAAGTCCATTGCATTGGTGACCTCATACTACATAAACACCATTGCCAATATTCCTCGGACTTTCAATCCTGCCTCCATAACCTCCATAACCTCCGAGCTCCACAGATCATACTCGGCACTTTCGCCATTTGTAATGTATCTTTTGCATTTTCCCCTCATCCTTATTTGGACTGCTGCTTCTCTCCATTCTAGCCAGTTAGTCATCATCCCCACTTCACCTCACCCTCCTGCCCCACTGGGCTTCACCCTCCCTATCTCCTTGTGGATGTACCACAGGTTCTGACCTATGACCTTTGGTACCACTCCGCTTCCACCACCCCTTTGTTCCCGTTCAGATGCCTTCGTTCTGATTCGGACCCCCTTTGTTTTCCTTGTGCTATCATCTCCCTATTATATACAGGCACCTGTACATACTCATTTTGGACCTTCAGTCTAAAATCGACCTGAAATGCCCCCTAGAGACTTCCTCCTTGCTGCCTCTGAAATTAAGGACCAAATGGACAAACAGCAATGGCACAGCACTCCACATGAGTTGCTGAGGCCAAGGTCCCTCCTTGCTAAGTCTCTGGTTCCCCTCCAGAATTGTCCACCCTCGCCCAGTTCTAACAGTAGCTATATGCTTTTAGTTGCTGTATATTGACGGGGTAGAAGTAAAGGCTGATCCACCTTTTACAGCTACCCCGAGGGTTTATATACACTCTAATGCATTCTTGGCACAAATAAATAGAGAAGCTTCCATGATGCTAAATTAGTGTCACTCAGACAACACAACAATCAATTGATGTTGTGGGCAGAATATAGACATGGGCCAGGGCCTCACAGGAGGGCTATAATGATATACTCAGTCTCCATAACAAGAACTGATATTATCAGTATTCTAACCTATAATGATATACTGGTTGGAATGAGTTACTGAGTTAGCCAAATACTCAGGGGAAACCGACCTCAGTCTCCATAATGAGAACTGAGGGAAACACAAAAAAAAAAGAAAACAATCCCAAACAACAAGAAACTATACACTCACGATCATGAGGACTGTAGGTCACATGAGGGTCATGTGTGCTTGTTGGTGAGTCACGGGTTGTTGCCTCACAACAAAAACAAGTGAGGAATCGTTGTCATTCTACCAACTCCTGAATGTACCGGGCCTTTCACACGTGTCAGATTATATTTTTGCACCGCTCATGCTACTAGATGGGCCACTTATGCAGCCATGACCTTGCTTGTGGGAATTTGAACCCGTGGCAGAATAACAAGTATTCAAATTGCAGGGAAGAGATGCACACAATAACATTGTCATTTTGGCAGCCAGTGCAATGTGGAGAGAAATTTTTACATAAGATTGTATCACACAACAGTTGAAAACCTAATGTTGATGGCATTGACATGTAGAGGGTGAGAAAGAAGGCCCAGGAAACGGGCGCTCAGAGGGCGACCCATCTTTTCCTCAGCCCTTGACCCACAGGGAGAGATCATCAAGACTATGTTGGACACAAATGAACGAGCACCTGAAAATAACGTCTCTTGAGTCAAGCTGGAGCGATTACTTGCTTGTGTGCTAGCCAGGACACCACCAATCACGCCACCGATTAAGCCTTCAGAATCCCTGCGAGTTTTGAAGCCTGAAGAGTCACTGAATATTGTCGACGCGGGAGGAGTTGATGATGTTGTGATGACTGAGATAGTGGTAGACGAGCCAATGGCAACGGCTGTTGTAGTGGTGTAGACAGAAGGCAGGGGGACTGACAACAGGTACAAAAAGAGTCGATAAGGAAGAAGTGGCCAGAGATCGGGTGGATGTTGTCGATGGGAAATCGAAGACAGTGAAGCACTGACAGCTGCCTGTGACAGGGGCATATGGTTTCACAGATTATCTCAAGGCCAAACAATCCGGCATGTCATCATCGATCTTGCACCTCCACCAACAGGAGGGCTGACACCATTCAACACTTATGTGGCGTTATCATGAAGCTCTGGCCGTGACACAATCCAACTTTTGCGAGCATTCAATGAGAGGCTCTTCAGACAACCAGTAAGTCCAATCTTGGAGGTAGAAGATGAAAGATTGGGGAAGGAGACGCGCACCAGATGGGAGAGGACTCAGATGGCAGAGTGGCAGAGTGGCAGAGTGGACAACGGATCGAAACCACATAATCACGACATAAACGAATAAACGAATAAATTCACGAAATGAATGGGACATGTAAAAGCACGTGAAGAGATCACGAGTCAGGATTCGTAGTGGGAAAGTGAAGATTCCCACGAATTGTGGACCCGGAAAGTGACCTTGCAAGCAAGGTAATGGGGGGCAGGATGGGTCTATGTGTGCAGCGGTACAGGGCTTGTGGTGGAAGGGGAAGGTTCGTAAGTCGTACGCAAAGCGTTGCATCTCCCTGAGGTTCGTTCATTGCAAATTGCAATCCCCCGTCCGTCGCAGTACCACGCTCACGAGGCTAAATTGATCTGCCGTATTCCCCCAGCTCTTAATGCCGAATGTACGAAAGTGGCCCGGTAGAAATCTGAAGGTCGTCCGCTGCTTGGAGCGGACTGGCATGGACTGATGCCAGTTGGTCCAATTGTGGAAGCGGACAACAGACCGGAAAGGATGTCCCTTGTGCGGCGGTCGCATGATGGTCAGTCTTGGTTTCAATCTCCGATGCTGCTCGGGTACTTTCCAAGCATACTGGGGCATTAATGTGCCTCTTCTGAATGACAAATCACCGCTACCGGATCAACTTCGAGTATGAGGCTCGCATGACAGACCGTTTGCGCGTGGACCCTACTAATGAATGCCCTTGAAATGTTCTGTTCACCCTCATTCCATTTCCCCCTCCCCTTCTGACCCGGTCATGCACGTTTGACCATCTTTGTCAGATGATTGCAATCGATTGAATCGGATCTGTTCATATTGGCCACTGACGACGCTTTCGCGAGAGTTATCAGACATTGATTCATCCATGATCAAGTACATATACTTTATCCGGCGCTTGACTTATCGCTTGTATCGTGACTGGCGCACACGATCTTTTGGGTAACAGGGCCCAACACTATAATTTTAATGTCGGCAACTGGATTCGAGGGTATTATCCATCAGAAGCAAATTGCTGTTTCTGATCCCATATGATCTTTATAGACCCGCCAAGATGGCGGACGATGCGGCGCTAGCATTGCCATGTTAGCGTCCATGGGTGAGCTCCCAGGGGACTTCCATTATTCAGGTTGAGTAAAAGTGTTTCAGGATGGGCTTCGTGCTAGTAAGGGTGGCATGCAGGAAGTGAGAGTTTGCATACATCGAGCCGTCGCTGCAATGGGGGGGCTGTACGCGCGTGATGTAGCGTATAGCGACGGTTCTTTCTTTTCCATGAAAGACTTGCTGTGCCGATAAATTTCAGGCAGGCTATTTCATCTCATCGTCCCTGAGCAGGTAATTGCTCTTGCGTACTATGAAAAACAAGGGCATGGGGGAACTTCATTTTGGATTGGATGGGTTTCGATCTACCATGAGACCTTGGCCGGAAACTGAAACTGAAGCACTGCTCGGCCGGCGAGGTACCCGTTTAATTCTCGCATATGGGCGAAGAGCACACTATGTAGTCTTGCCATTTGCACGTATTCTTAAAGAGCCTCGAGGATCTCCAGGCATGTCGAGTCGGATAACAGTCCCCGGAGCCACCGTCCGCGGCCGTCCATCGCAAACCGTGAATTGTAACTGTAGTATTACAGATCGGGCCGGTCATTGAGGCTGATCCCCATACAAAGGCTTTGGTGTCGTACTGCGTTGCATGACGATATTGATCTGTTGCGCAAGCATTGGTTACACAGGTCCAAATTTTATTTCGGGTTTCGGCTCACCGTTGCCATCATAGGGGACCATAGCCCCGAAAGAAAATGTTAATACTCCGTTGCAAGTGACCTGGCCACCGTAGAAATCAGCTGCCACGATGGGAACTAGAGCGATTGGCGCGAAGAGGATCCAGAGTCGCATTGTGGCTTCTTAGATATCGCTGCTACTGGCACGTAATGAGCAGGGAATGGCATAAGTAACTGCGCATAGTTAATGTTAATCAATAAGAACTAACTTCAGCCTCGAGAGCGTGTGGTCGGAGGACTGAGGGAGGAGAGCAGAACATCAGACTTTATGTACTAGGCAATTCTAGTATCCTGAACGGCTTCTCGTAAAAAAGTAAAACATTCTGGCTAGCAATATCATAGAAATATCAGGAATTTATCCTTCAGCATAGCTCAACATATCGGCTGACCAAGGTGAGTTCGATCCTATCACTAGCCTCTATTGGAATAGACTTACTGAATGTCTGGTCTACTGAATGGTAAGAAAAGGGTATGCGGCGTTCGCCGCCTCGCTTGAACGGGGCACTTTGGATCCGGTCAGGTTAAATCGGCGCAATCGGCGCATATCTTGCCTGCAAGGTCACTTTCCGGCAACCGGCATTGCCCCGTTCGGAGGGAATGCATGTGGTCGAGTGATAATTCAATATGTAATATGTTGGAGTGCAGCGCGCGTTCCGGAGGTTTCTGACCAGGTGACTTTCACCTGACCTGTAAATGAATACTTTTCCCTTTTTTATTATCGCGGAATTATCCGCTACCGACTATACGGACATATGTTGGAAGTTTAGGTGGTCACGAGACCTAAAAGTTTGGACATTCTGGGAATTGAACTGCAGAACTCCGCATTGGTCCAAGCTGGTGTCAGGGCACACCCCACCTGACCCCGCGCCGTGCCACCCTACTCCGCTTCCCCGCTATCACCCTTTGTCTCTTCTTTCCCTTTTCCTTCTTTCTTTCTATTTCCTTCTATGGTTGACTTCCCCTCCTCTATGTATTACTAACACACCCAACCCTGCTCCCCCGAATGCCGCGCCCACCATGCGCATTCCCGCTCACAGAGCGGCACACCCCTGGGATCTCCCACGGAGATACCCAGGGGAGTGCAGCTGTGTGTGGGGATGACGTGGCTCCTCCCACGTGACCCTGACCGCATGTATATAATAGCACCTGGGGTGGGAACAGAAGAAGCAGCCTTCTTCTCAACTTCCCACTTCAGACTAAGTGGTTGGGGACGCTCACCCTGCAACGGGACCGTCGCTACGCATAGCCGACACCTGTCCCATCAAGTCCCTTGCACCGGGACCTCGCTGCTTTCGGAGCTGTCCCTGACAGCTGGTGTGTTACCATTACACCAAACACCCCTTATAGGCCGAGGTGGTTTCCAACAACATACCCGCTCTTTCTATTCATTTCCTTTTTCCTCGTTCTCCACACTATTCAGCTTGAGACTACTACTTTCTTTCATTTTGATTTCCCTTCATATCTAAATGTGTAATATCTTTAGTTAAACTATGCTAGGGATCCGGCCCAGAGGGAACCACTACCTTCCTAGATAGGAAGACAGTTGGCATCGTCAACGACAGCCACAAACCCCACAGCTATGACAGGGGAGCCTCCCAAGGCCCCTGCGAAGCCCCTGGCAGAGATCTGGTGGGGATTAGGAGTAGGGCTCCTAGCGGATCGGATCGGTCCGGATCCGGATCCGAATCCGCAGATTTTTAAAGGTTTGAAACAAAAACCGTATCCGGCGGTTAGAAATCCGCAGATATGCGGATCAACCGCGGATTATAGATAATACATTCCAAAATTATAATTTGCTAGAACGGCCCTGATGAGAGCTTTCTAACAATACCAAATATGTCCATATTGGTGGAGAACTGACAGAGATATGGGGAAAATGGCACAAAAGATGGGTGTCAAATGCCAAATTTGAAAATAACGGGCCTGGGTGGTTAGATAGGACTTGAAAAAATTGGGAGAAAATATGGAAACATAGGAGGGGTATCTAGGAAAGTGGGATATATTTAATCCATGGATAATCCACCTATCTGCGGACTAGAAACCGCGGATATTATCTTCTCAAAAGCCACAATAGGGTAAGAGTTACAGTAAATATGGGGAATTTCACCCCTATTTGCCTCTGATCTCCTGCATATCTGCAAGCAATAAATCATGTAATAAAACTGCAGATAATCCGCAAATCCGCGGATTAAAAACCACGGATATTTTCCTCTGAAAATCCAAAACCGGATCCGTGAATTTCCGGATGCGGTTGCGGATATCCGGAGACCATCCGATCTGCTAGGAGCCCTAATTAGGAGTCGGGTACATCTGGATGGACATTCCAAAAAATGGATGTAAACCATGGTACCCCAGGTAACTCCAAAGGAGTTAAGCTGCTAGAGCTATGATGTAGCATAACTGTCAGGGACAGCTCCGAAAGCGGCGAGGTCCCTGCACACGGGACTCGGTGGGATGAGTAGTGGCTGTGCGTAGCGGCGATCCCATTGTGGGGTGAGTGTCCCCGACCACTTAATCTGAAGTGGGAAGTTGAGAAGAAGGCTGCTTCTTCTGTTCCCACCCCAGGCACTATTATACATGTGGCCAGGGTCACGTGGAGGAAGCCACATCATCTCTGCGCACAGCTGCACCTCCCTGGGTGTCTCCATGGGAGATCCCAGAGGTGGCCACTCAGTAGGTGGGAGTGTGCACGGTGCATGCAGCGATCAGGGGGGTGGGGTCAGGTATGTAGTAGTACATGGAGAAAGGGAAATTGACCATAGAATAGAAATAGAAATAGAGATAGAGAGAAGGGGGAAAATGGGGGAGGGGAGATGGGGAGTGATGATGGGGTAGTGCGGTATGGCGCAGGGTGCGGCACGGGGTCAGGCGGGTGTGCCCTGACAATAACACAGTACTGTTCATCCTGCAAGGCTGAATAGCCAAGGAAGCACCCCGTTAACAGTGTTGTCCAGGCACACCCGCCTGACCCGGGTCCACCTGGACCCACCTGGCCACACCTCACCCACAACCCTGCTGTCCATCCCTCTCCTTCCTCCCTCCTCCCTTTTTCCCTCTTTCTTCTTTCTCTTTCTTCTCCTTTCTTTATTTCATTCTTCTCATCTTTCTCTTCCTGTTTATTCCTTCTATCTACACAGACCACTTTCCTTTGTATCAATGTACTATTGACCTGTCCAGCCCAGACACCCTGGATGGCTTCCCGCTGTGCCCAGCACATGTGCATGCAGTGGACGCTCTCAGGATCCCCCACAGGGATACCCGGATGGCTGTGGCTGTCTCCAAGGATGACGTGGCACCCATCATGTGACTCAAGCTGCATGTACATAAATGTACCTGAAGTGGGAACCGAAGAAGTAACCTTCTTCTCACATTCTCCACTTCAGTCTGAGTGGCCAGGGACTGCTGTCCCTTTCCAGACCTGCCAGTACGCACGCCCGGTTTGCATCCCCTGAGGGCCCCTCTGCCAGGCAATACATCCGGACCCCTTCTACCCCAGATGCATCCCTGACAGGTGTGTAACCCCTACCAGACTCCCATTAGACAATACTGTCAGGGGACAACTCCCAGGTCCCCATGACCCTCCCCTATGGTCCACAGCCCTGAGGTGTAACCAGCCCAATCCAGGGCACAACCTACTGTGGGTAAGAAGATGAGAAGGAAACTAACTTCTCATCTTCCCACAGTGGCCACCATATCAGGAAAACTTCCGGGGATACCCGGAAGTCACATGAAGGGGTAGGAACTGGGCCCGGAGCATGCGGTGCGCAGAGCGTGCACACATGCAGGAAGCGCGGCGGGTGGAAGCAGGTCCGGACACAGGTCCGGGTCCGGGCTAGTCAGGGTGTGTGCCCTGACAAATACCAAACATAATGGTCAACAGCTCCCCTGCCGAAGGAACCCCATCCAGAAACACCCACAAAAAAGGTGGTAACAATGCCCCAAACACTCCCACCAGACCCCAAAAGAATGCACTAAGCACCACCACACCCAGGCTGGAAGCCCCAAAACACATCAGATCCCTGGACTCCACCAATGTCCAAGGGCCATCCCTAGCTCCCCCACCCCTACCTACCCTGAGCCAGCCACCACAGGCCCCTAACAACAACCCCTCCCAACAAGCTCCTCCCTGAGGGAAAATAGCCTCCACCAAGCCCAGCAGGTGAATACACTGGAGAGAGGCCTAGATAACACCCCAACAAACTCCCGCACCACTCGCCCTCCAGCCATAGTGGATGTGGGCCTGCTGATCACAATTGCAGCCCAATGCCCCCCTGATGGCAATGACTCATATGACTACATTGACCTCACCCAAGAGCTGGCTAACTTCCGAGCCCACAGAGTCTGCCCTGCCCATATCCTAGCTAACCTACACAAAGACCGCCTCCATGACTGGCAATCCACAGCTGGTGCGATACTAGTCTACCTGCTTGATGCCAAACATGGCTCAGTAAATGACCGAGAATTCAGAACCAAGCTCTCTACCTTCCTTAAAAGAGCTTTCCCCCAGTCAGCCCCAAACATAGAAGTATGCCCTCCCATTGCACAAACATATGGTGCTGGTTCTCCCTGGGGCTTCATGGTAGAAGGCCTTCACCCTTTGCACTCCTACAACCTCACCTCCAACCACTTGTGGCTAAGCTGCACAGTCTGCTTCATCGTCATTGACCTCCTCTTATGTTGCAACTCTCTGCAGCTTCAGGGTCGGTCTGAATGAGACCAGTGTAATAAAAAATGCGATCTCCCAAAAAATATCAGAAGATAGGTCTCTGATCAGAGACTTTCTCGAGGAGGCAAACATACATGAGGATGACATACACAGGATTGCAAACAACTGTGAGGTGTACCCAAGAGGATATGGCCCCCTGACCAACAGCAGAGACCCTAGCCCAAGGGAGCACTGAAACCCAACCCATGACTCCGACATCACTATGTGGGAAATACATGTCCCCCCCCCCCCCTTCTTCTCCATCCCCAACTCCAGCACAGGTCTGTCCAACAACATCCATGACCAATGTCTCTTTAAAACCACCACATTTGCGGGCAGAACCACCAGGAGCAGTGTCAGGGACGCGTCCGGGGTAGAGGAGGCCCGGGTGAGACGCCCGACACTAGAAGCCTCGCGGGGTGTGGAGCAGGCATGCGTACTGGTGGGCCCGGCTCAGGAGGCAGTCCCTGGCCACTTAGACTGAAGTGGAAAAGGGTGTTATTATTATTAAAAGGGAGTACTATGTTACTTACCTGAAGTGGAAAAGGGTGAGAAGAAGGCTACTTCTTCGGTTCCCACTTCAGGTATGTTTATATACATGCGGCTTAGGTCACATGATGGGTGCCATGTCATCCTCGCATACAGCCGTAGTCACCTGGGTGTCCCCGTGGGGGATCCCGAGGGCATCCGCTGTGAACGTGTGAGCTGGACATAGCGGGGGTCGCCCGAGGCGCCCGGGCT